CCAATTGGGCTTATTATCCGGGGAGGTCTTATTTTTGGGGAAACTGGGCATATGTAGCTTTCACTGAAATCCCATCTTCTCCGCAAGTTTAATCTAGCCTTTAGATATAATTGCAGGAAAGCCATCGTTTTCCTTTGGCTTCCAGGGTCTCTGTTTTAAGTTGATGATAATCATAATCATAATAATAAAAAGATGCCTGGGTGCTGGATATTTGGCAAGAGGCAATTTTAAATTAAAGCCAGAATGATTCAGTGGCCTCCAACTGGGAGGTTCAAGGCCGCCAAGTCATATCCTCCAAAACTAGACAGGTGATTCAGCAGGTTAGCGTGGCCATCTGCTCATCAGCCTGCGGTGCACTAAGAGGAGCCAAACAAAATTGGACGTGAGCCATTCTCTGACTCACCACTAATCCTCACCAGCCTGGCCCTGTAAAACCCTATTTGAAGAGGTTTGCTTGAATTGACGGGAATGGGTTCGTGAGAAAGGCCAAAAGGTGAGGTTTGCCTCCGATTTGAAGGTGGGGGAAAACATTTTCCGTTTTGTGCCCACCTCTGCAATTTTATCCTGTTCTCTCTTCTCTTTATGGATGGGTTAGATCAGTGATTCCCAACCTTTTTTTTGGGGGGGGGGCATGCCCCACCTAAGCATCTCTAAAATCCCGATGCCCCTTCCTGTGACATAATTCTTACTTTACTCAAAACGTGAACTACTCACGGGGAGGAAACCTATTAACTTGGTTTAAACAAGGTTCAAATTGCCCCCATTACAAATCAAATTGCCTCCCTGTGGGGCATGAGCCCCACGCTGGGCACCTCTGGGTGAGATCCTGCTTTTTCTCCAAGGGATCTTCCTTAGGATCTGCCTTTCCTAGGCTTTCCCCAAGAATCAGCCTGTGACAGAGACCGAGATGGGTCAGCGACTTTCCATGGCTGAAGATGCCCCATTGGACAGGAAATCAATTACAGAGGCATTGCTTTGGGTTGGCTGCTTGATTCCAAGGAAGCGAACGACGGGCCAATGAGAAGTCACTGTCCATGATAGGTCCCACCCTGCGGTAGCCAACCCCCACTTGGGAGATTTCTCAAACTAGTTCGTCAGAGCCCTGGAGATGCAGTGGTTAGAATGCGGTATTGCAGGCTGACTCTGCCCACTGCCAGGAGTTCGATCCTAACCAGCTCGAGCTTTGACTCAGCCTTCCATCCTTCCAAGGTCGTTAAAACGAGGACCCAGATTGTTGAGGGCAATAGGCTGATTCTGTAAGCCGCTTAGAGAGGGCTGAAAAGCACTGTGAAGTGGTATTTAAGTCTATTGCTAGTTCATTTCAAGGCCACCTTCATGGCTTATGGACTCACATATGAACGTGTGATGGGGGAGTTATTGCTAAAAAAAAGGTGAGGGGAGGAGAAACTAAAGAGGAAGTGAATATATAGATATATAGATATATATAAGAAAAGTGCAATGAAAAAAACAAAACACAAGCTCGGCAACATGATTATGTGTCTCTTCAATGGCCGTAGTAATGCAATGCTGGCCCGACATGCTATGTGTGATGAAGCCACAGCTTGCCTTGGACATGAATGCATTAAAAAGAGAAAAATTAAGACTGCCAGCAACCTGTAGGATTCTCGGTCGCTTGGTCGGTGTCATTCTCATTTCCCGAATATTCTGCGGAGAGGAGAAGCAAGAAAACAGGGAGAAGAAACAACAGGAACGGAGGGATTAGGTAGGGCCTGGATATTATAACCTGTTGCAGTTCAGACCTGGATGGGTTACTGTTGTGGCCCAGCAGGAGCCGTTGGAGCTGCCGATGGACTCCGATAGCGAGGACCCCTATGAGTCTGCTATGGAAGATGTGGAGGACCCTGG